TACCCTGCCTCCGGCCGTGCTCCAAGCTGACCGAGCCTGCAACCGGTTCAAGGTAACCCCGAGCTTAGAGCTTACTCCTCGGCTCTGTCTCTGTAGCCGGCTTCCCTGTTCTAGTACCTGTAAGCTCTGCGACACTCAGACACCCCCGATCCTTCTGTGACCCTGCGGGACCTGAGGCCACGCTGACCCTGCGTGGGCTTCACCCCGGTTAAGCCTCTGGAGCGATGTCCCTCAGCGGAACAGACTTTTAAAAGTCCCGATTTTGTGCTCCGTTGCTCCGCCGCTTGCCAGGAGCCGGCCCCTCCCCCCGCGGTCTATCTTCCCGTCGCTTTGGATTCACTTCTCCGCCAGTCCTACCTTTCAGAAAGTGGTTGATTTTCTGTTTCTAGAGTTGCTGTTCTTCTTCTCTTCGATCTCCCGTTGGATTTGTAGGTGTTTGCAATCTTTAGATAAGCTATCTAGCTGATCTCCCGCTACCTGAAGTAGTCTCAGCCTGCTACTTCTCCGCCATCTTGGCTCCTTCTGTTTTAATTTAAATTTTAAGGTGATCTCTATACCCAGTGTGGGGCTCAAACTCAACGACCCTGGGATCAAGAGTCTGGTAGACTGACTAAGCCAGCCAGCGCCCCCAGATATCCTTCAGTGTAGCTTCTTGTTTATCTCAAGCCTTGTGTCCTGTTGCTCTTGTGTTGCGTGTTCCAGGAGTTGTCTTAGCTCCCTGACCATACCTTGCTGCGTCACACTGCTGAGCCCTTGTGAATTGTGTTCCTTCTGCCTGAAATTCCTTATTTTAACCTAGGGAAATCCTGTTTGTCCTTTAAAAGCCAAGTTTCACAGCCTCTGTGGTGATGTCTTTCCCCTGTTTGTTTGAGGTTTAATTCCCTTCTGTGCATAATATTGTTATTGAACTTTTCATGAAATAATGTAATTATTTAAATACAGGTTTAAATCTAACAAGTTGGAGGTATTTTGAGGGCACTGTGTATGTGTTGCTTCTTAATAATTGTCTTAAGTATTGAATAAATGAATTACCATATGAAGCCATATTAGTAAGAAATTAGAATATATCCTCCTTCTAATAGCTATAATAAATAAGCAGCAAAATTCAGAAGTACTGGTGGTCATTCTGAGCAGCAGTGTGCAGCGTGGGCTTCCCTCCCAGGTCAGGGCCTGCCATGATCCGGAGAAGCCTGGAGAACAGGCAGAGCTGTGAGGGGGACTGACTCACTGAGACGGCTGAGGGATCTATTTCTGCTGGCTTTGGCTGGAGAACCCTTTCCTGGCCTTGTCGGGATGGAGAATTCAGAGCCCTCTTAGGGCTGTTGTCATCTGTTGAGCCCCTACTTGTGTGTCTGGGGCTTTGGGGTCTTGTTCTGTGAGGAAGATTTAGTAGCTCATTTTACAGGGGAGGAAGCAGACTCGGAGGGCCTAGACAGGTTTCTCCAGCTCATCACACGAACATGACCTTGACTGATTGGTTGGTTTGGTTTGGGTTTTGTGGGTTTTCAGACCTTTTGGGCCGCACGTAGGTCCTGGCCCTCTTCTCCCTTCATTCACACTCTCTCTGGCAGACCTAGCTCGGGATGTGGTTGCTCCTTCCACCTTCCCCTCTCCTCTGGGCTCCAGACTGCTGCCTGACGTCTGCGCTCATGCTCACGCCCGAAGGCCTCTCACAGCTGGCGCATTGGGGTGTGGACTCCCGGTTCTCTTGCCCACCCCGTCCCCATGCTGCACTCTTTCGCCTCTGCCAGTCTTCCCCTGTGCAGAAACCGGCACATCTTATGCCCGTTGTTGGAGGCAGAGACCCAGGAGACATTCTAGATTCCTTCCTTAGCTGGCAGCTCAGCTTCGCCCATCAGCAACTCCTGTCACATCTCGTTCCCAAACACCTCCCACTTCTGTGTCACATCACCGTTCTCCATCTCCCAGACCGTCAGCTGCAGGCACGGCGGCACCAGCCTCTGGACTGATGTTCCTCTTCCTTTCTTGATTTCCTCTCTCAGCAAATGGTTATTGGGGGCACATGTACTTATAGGTATACCTCATTTTACTGCACTTCGCAGATAAGGTGTTTTTACAAATGGAATGTTTGTGGCAACCTGACTTTGAACAAGTCTGTTGGTGCCATTTTCCCAAAAATATTTGCTCACTTCCTGTCTCTGTGTCATGTTTTAGTGATTCTTGCAATATTTCAGAATTTTCATTATAATTATACTTTTTTTTTTTAAGATTTTATGCATTTATTTGTCAGAGAGAGGGAGAAAGAGAGAGAGAGAGCACAAGCAGGGGGAGCGGCAGGCAGAGGGAGAAGCAGACACCCTGCTGAGCAGAGAGATCGATATGGGACTCGATCCCAGGACCCTGGGATCATGAACTGAGCCAAAGGCAGGCGCTTAACCTGCTCGCTACCCGGGTGTCCCATTGTGATTATACTTGTTATGATGCTGTGACATTGCTATCACAGTTGTTCTGGGCCACCATGCACTGCTCCTATAATGAGAGTGAACTTAATTGATAAATGTTGTGTGTGTTTTGACTCCTCCACCGACCAGCCATTACCCCACCTCTCTCCCTGTCCTCAGGCCTCTCCCCTCTTCCCCTGAGATAGAACAATATTGAAATTAGGCTGTTTGATAGCCCTACAATGGCCTCTTAGACGTTCAATGAAAGAATCACATGCCTCTCTAAATCACAAGCTAGAAATGCTTAAGCTTAGTGAGGAGAGCGTGTTGAAAGCCAAGATATACTGAAAGCTAGGCCTCTTGCACCAAACAGCCAAGTTATGAATGTAAAGGAAAAGATCTGGAAGGAAGTTAAAAGTGCTACTCCAGTGAATACACAATGATAAGAAAGCGGAACAGTCTTATTGCTGATGTGGAGAAAGTTTGAGAGGTCTGGATGAAAGATCGATCCAGCTGCAACTTTCCCTTAAAGCAAGGCCTAATCCAGAGCAAGGCCCTAACTCTCTTCAATTCTGTGAAGGGTGAGAGAGGGTGAGGAAGCTGTAGAAGAGAAGTTGAGGCTAGCAGAGGTTGGTTCATGAGGTTTAAGGAAAGAAGTGTGTCTGTGAGGGTTAAGTGCAAGGTGAAGCAGCAGGTGCTGATGTAGAATCTGCAGCAAGTCATCCAGAAGGCCTGGTGAAGATGAGTAATAAGGTAGCTACACTAAACAACAGATTTTCAATGTAGATGAAACAGCCTTCTTACTTGAAAGGGTGCCTTCTAGGACTTTCACAGCTAGTGAAGTCAATGCCTGGCTTCAAAGCTTCAGAAGGACATGCTGACTCTCTTGTCAGGGGCTAATGCTGCTCATGACTAAATTGAGGCCAATGTCATTTACCATTCTGAAAATCTTAGGACCCTTAAAAGTTGTGCTAAATCTACTCTGCCTGTGCTCCATAAATGGGGCGAGAAAACCTGAATGGCAGCACATCTGTTTACAACATGATTCCATGAATATTTTAAGCCCACTGTTGAGATATGGTCAGAAAAGGATTCCTTTCAAGATATTACTCCTTGTAGAAAATGCACCTGGTCACCCAAGAGTTCTGATAGAGATGTACAATGCAATTAAGGTTGTTTTTGTGCCTGCTGACACAGCATCCATTCTGTAGCCCATATGGATCCAGGAGTCATTTGAACTTTCTAGTCTTAACTATTTAAGAAGTACATTTTGTAAGGCTATAGCTGCTGTAGGTAGTGATTCCTCTGCTGAATCTGGGCAAAGTCAATTGAAAACCTTCCAGAAAGGATTCACCATTCTACATGCCTTTAACAGCACTCATGATTCATGGGAGGAGGTCAAAATATCAATATTAAGAGGAGTTTGGAAGAAGCTGACTACAATCCTAATATAGATGACTGTGAGGGGTTCAAGACTTGAATGGAGGGAGTAACTATAGATGTGGTGAAAATAGCAAGAGAACTAGAATGAGAGGTGGAGTCTGAAGACATGACTGAGTTGCTGCAACCTCATGATAAAACTTGAATGGATGAGCAGTTACTTCTCATAGAACAACGGAAGTGGCTTCTTGGGAAGGAATCTACTCCTGGTGAAGATTTTGTGATGAAGATAGTTGAAATGACAACAAAGGATTTAGAATATGACATAAACTTGGTTGATAAAGCAGTGGTAGGTTTGAGAGGATTGATTATATGTTTGAAAGAGGGTTTACTGTGGGTAAAATGCTGTCAGACAGCATTGCATGCTACAGAGAAATCATTCATGAAAGGAAGAGTCAGTCAATCAGTGCAACAAATTCGGTTGTTGTCTTATTTTAAGAAATTATCACAGCCGCCCCAGCCTTTAGCAGCCACCACCCTGATGAGTCAGTAGCCATCGACACTGGGCAGGACACTCCACCAGCACAAAGATTATGAATAGCTAAAAGCTCACATGATGGTTACATTTTTAAGCAATAAAGTATTATTTAATTGAGGTGTGTACATTGGTTTTTTTTTAGACATGATGCTGTTGTACATTTAATAGACTGTGGTATAGTGTAAACATAACTTTTTTTTTTTTTTTAAGATTTTATTTATTTATTTGACAGAGAGAGATCACAAGTAGGCGGAGAGGCAGACAGAGAGAGGGGGAAGCAGGTTCCCTGCTGAGCAGAGAGCCCAATGTGGGGCTCGATCCCAGGACCCTGGGATCATGACCTGAGCTAAAGGCAGAGGCTTTAACCCACTGAGCCACCCAGGCGCCTAGTGTAAACATAACTTTTATATGCACTGAGAAACCAAAAGATTCATTTGACTTGCTTTAGTTCGGTTCTTGCTTTATTGTGGTGCTTTGGGACCAAACTTGCAGTTATTTCTTAGGTATGCTTATACCATTATCACCCCCATTGTGTTAATTAGATGTCTTCCTGGTTTATTTAAGTCTGCAGTTTGATGTATTTTTGAAGTCTTTTGGTTTTTAAAAACAAAATGATTTCTAATCTCATTGAAATAACTGTAAGCAAATTAGAATCTTCATGCTTTCCTTTCCATCAACAGAATCCAACATGGCGGAGTCTCGATTTTGGAATAATGCCTGACCGACTTGATACGTCTGTGTCTTGTTTTGTGGTGAAGATATGGGGTGGAAAGGAGAACATCTACCAGCTTTTGATTGAATGGAAAGTCTATTTGGATGGGCTGAAATACTTGGGTCAGCAGGTAATTTTTAGACTGTAGTTTTAAGTGTTTGTCTTCTCTAAGCCTACCTAACCTTTTTGTATATTGTTTAGATTCTACATTTCCTATTATAGAGAACCCTTATGATTATTTCTATACTTAATTATAGAAATTCTGAGTCATGGCCAAGTTCAAAAATAATTTTTAATTGAAGAAACTTATGAAGAAGTACCCTGAGCTGTTACTTTAAGAGGAATTTTTTTTTTTTTTTTTGGTAGGAAAGAATATGCTTTCCCATAGCATTCTGCTTCTTCTATTTTATTGCACTTGATCTTAGCCACAAGGCTGAGAAGCGATCTTCTCTTTTATTGGATCTAAAAATTAACTTGCAAATATAGAACATACTATTAAATACTTCTCTTATGACCAGTAGAGTTGAATGATTTTGGGAAGGAGAGGTACTATTTATTTATTTATTTATTTATTTTTAATTTTTTTTTTTTGAGAGATATTACTGTTTATTAAACACAGGGCTGACAAATGCCTGGCTTGCATACTACTACCAAGTCCCTATGAGTGAGGTAGCTATTGGATCATAGCATTCCTCTAGCTGAGCTTCGAAGTCACTCCATAATCCCTTTGGACACAGTGTTCTGGGATGCAGCTAGCAATGTATCAGAATTGCTGATATATGAAACCTATTTACCATCTCCAGACTAGGTTATTTTACTTAATATTTTATAGCAGCCTTGTGAAGGTTGGTATTAGTGCCCTTATTTTCTAAATGGGAAAATCCAACCACAGGGAGTTTAAGTAAATGCTCAAGATCACACTGCTAGGTGGAGGAAGATTGAAATCTAGGCCTGGCCGACTTACAGATGCATGATTTGTGCTGTACGACACTGATCTATACATGTGGTCCTTGGTAACCTACCTTGGAATAAATGCTGTGTCTATTTGTGATACCTATTGGATACTGCTAAAGGTAACTCCAAAATGTTAGTCGTATCTGTGAATATCCTTGATGTTTCTTAATATTTATTCAATATAGATTTTCTGATTTCTTTTATTTATTTATTTATTTATATTATTGTTTTGAGAGAGAGAGAAAAAGCATGCACATGATTGGGGTTGGGGAGAGAGAGAGAGAGAGAATCTTAAGCAGGCTCCATACTCAGTGCAGAGACTGACACAGGGCTCAATCTCATGACCCTGAGAAAATGACCTGAGCTGAAATCAGAGTCGGATGCTTAACCAGCAGAGTTACCCAGGCGCCCCTGCTTTATTTCTTTTAAAGAAACAATTTAATTCCACATATTTTTTTTCAGATTAAAAAAAAACTCCTCTGCCCTCATTTTGTTTACCATATACTTTATTTTGTGTCTTCCTATAGTGATCAGAATAATGCATGTAATAGATATTTTACTCCTCTGCCCTCATTTTGCTTATCATAGATTTTATTTTGTGTCTTCCTATAGTGATCAGAATAATGCATGTAATAGATATTTTACATAACTAAATTCTAACTGCTATGGATTCTTACTCTTTGTTATTTTTCTATTTTTCCTTCTGTTTTAGGACTGGTCTCAATGAAAATTTATAAAATCATGACTTCTGGCTTAGGGCCTCTCTCTTCTCTTTCAGCATGAGACATTTATTGCCTTTAGGCTGGCCAGCCAGAGCCCTGCACTAAGATGTATACTTTTTCTGTCTTCCCACATAGCATAGTTGGCTCTCTGTGGATAGACAATGGTATTGAGCTCTTATCTTTTTTCTGAAAGTGCTTAAATTTCATGGAGGATGGTGCTTCTTAACATTAGAGTTGTATGGCTATAGTCTGGCAGGGGGTTTTTGGCCAAAGAAGATGGACTTCATGCTTTTCAACTCACATATTCCTTGGGTAGTGATCTTGAAGTACTCAACTGTGTTTATGTTGAAGCTGCTCTAATTTCAGAGAGTCTGTTTTTGGGTGTCTTCTTACAAAGGTGGTTAGTGGGTATAATGGAGAACAGAGAAAGAGAAAACATGTTTTTTATGCCAGTTAGAAACTTATTGTAGAAAGGCAAAACTCACCTACAAAATAGATAAAATAAGTAACATACTACTAGAAAATCAGATAAAATAAAATTATACATTTTCAGAGGAAAACAAGACTAGGATGTATCAGGAGAACAGCCGGAATTACTTGGGTTCATTGATCGATCTTCTGCTTTCTACCAGGCATTATTCTTACTGTTAAGGTTCCAGAGACTGATAAGACAAGATCCTTAGACTTGGTAAGCTCATGATTGGTGAACACCTGCATGGACCTGCAGAGCACTGTTTTGATTGCTGTAGCTTTGTGATATAATTTGGGGGAGTATATGAAAGAGGTATTTAGACAAGTCGGGATGGAGTCAGGCAGGGCCGACTTTTGAATGAAACTTTGTTTACAGGTCAGATTTGTTGAGGTATAATGTATATACAATGAAATTACCCTTTTAAGGTATACAGTTCAGTAGATTTGACAAATGTATAAATTCTATTAACCACCACAATGAATAATGCTGCTGTGAATATTTAAATATCCACCTTTATGTTGACATATGTTGTCATTTCTATTGAGTAAATACGTAGGAATGGAATTTCTGGGTCTAGTGGTAAGTGTTGAAATTTACAAGAAGCTGCCAAGTTGTTTTCCATTCTGTTGGGTTTAATCATTCTGATGGATTCGAAGTGGTATCTTGTTGTGACTTTTTTTGGCATAGTTTTAATTGTAATTACCCAGTGTTCATCATGACAAGTGCACTCCTTAATCCCCATCACCTATTTCACCCATCCCCCACCTACCTCCCCTTTGGTAACCACCGATTTTTTCTCTATAGTTAAAAGTCTGTTTCTTGGTTTGTCTCTGTCTCTTCCCTCCCTTTTGCATTTGTTTCATTTCTTAAATTCTACATAAGAGTGAAATCATATGGAACTTATCTTTTTCTGATTGATTTATTTCACTTAGCATTATCCTGTCGAGCTCCATCCGTATCATTGCAAGTGACAAGATTTCATTCTTTTTTATGGTCGAGTAATATTCACACACACACACACACACACTCATCTTTTTTATCCATTTGTCAATCGGTGGACATTGGGCTGCTTCCATATCTTGGCTATTGTAAATAAAACTGCTCTAAACATAGGGGTGCATATATCCCTTTGAATTAGTGTTTTTGTATTATTTGGGTAAATACTTAATAGTGCAATTGCTGGATCACAGGGCATTTCTCTTTTTAAATTTTTGAGGAAACTCCATACTGTTTTCCGCAGTGGCTGCACCAGTTTGCATTCCACCAACAATGCACAAGTGTTCCTTTCTCTCCACATCTTCGCCAACACCTGTTGTTTCTTGTGTTCTTGATTTTAGCCATTCTGACAGTTTGATATCTCATTGTAGTTTTGATTTGCATTTCCCTGGTGTTAAGTGATGATGAGCGTCTTTTCAGAGCATCTTTTCATGTGTCTGTTGGCCATCTGGATGTCTACTTTGGAGAAAAGTCTTCATGTCTTCTGCCCATTTTTAAAATTGGATTATTTGCTTTTTTGGGTATTGACTTTTATAAATTCTTTATATATTTTGGATACAAACCCTTTATTTGATGTCATTTGTAAATATAGTACCCTATTCAGTAGGTTGCCTTTTAGATTTGTTGATTGTTTCTTTGGCTATGCAGAAGTTTTTTATTTTGATATAGTCCCAATAGTTTATTTTTGCTTTTGTTTCCCTTGTGTCAGGGGACCAATCTAAAAAACAGTTGGTGTCAGAGAAATTACTGCCTGTGCTCTTTTCTAAGATTTTTATGGTTTCAGGCCTCACATTTAGATCTTTAGTCCATTTTTAAAAAAAATTTATTTATTTGACAGGCAGAGATCACAAGTAGGCAGAGAGGCAGGCAGAGACAGAGAGAGGAGGAAGCAGGCTCTCTGCTGAGCAGAGAGCCCACTGTGGGGCTCGATCCCAGGACCCTGAGATCATGACCTGAGCCGAAGGCAGAGGCTTTAACCCACTGAGCCACCCAGGCGCCCCTCTTTAGTCCATTTTTAATTTATTTTTGTGTATGGTGTAAGAAAGTGGCCCAGTTTCATTCTTTTGCATATGGCTGTCCAGTTTTCCCAACACCATTTGTTGAAGAGACTAGCATTTTCTCATCGGATATTCTTTCTTGCTTTGCTGAAGATTAATCAACCCGATGATTATGGGTTTATTTCTAGATATTCTATTCTGTTCCACTGATCTCTGTGTCTGTTTTTGTGCCAGTACCATACTGTTTTGATTACTGCAGCTTTGCAGTATAACTTGAAGTCCAGGATTCACAGATTTGCTTTCCTTTTTCAAGAATGCTTTAGTGATTCAGGTTCTTTTGTGGTTCCATATAAATTTTAGGATTGTTTGTTCTGTTTCTATGGAAAATGCTATTGGTATTTTGACAGGGGTTGCTTTAAATATGTAGATTGCTTTGAGTAGTATAGACATTTTAACAATATTTGCTCTTCCAATCTATGGGCATGGAATTTGAAATGTCTTTCCATTTCTTTGTGTTATCTTCAATTTCTTTGATCAGTGTTTTATAGTTTTCAGAGCACAGGTCTTTTACCTCTTTGGTTAGATTTACTCCTAGGTGTCTTATTATTTGGGGAGTAATTGTAAATGGGATGGTTTTCTTTTCTTTCTTTTTTTTTTTTTTACTTATTTTTTTAAAAAAAGATTTTATTTATTTATTTCATAGGGAGAGAGGGAGAGAACAAGTCAGGGGGGCGGGGGAGGTAGTGGTGGAGGAAGAGGGAGAAGCAGACTGCCGATGCGGGGCTCGATCCCAGGACTCCTGGATCATGACCTAAGCCAAAGGCAGATGGTTAACTGACTGAGCCACCCAGGTGCTCCTGGAATTGTTTTCTTAATTTCTTCTGCTGCTGCTTAACTATGGGTATATAGAATCTTCTGATTTTAATTTTAATTTATCTAGTGATGAAGTTATGTTGAGCAATAAAAAAATGTTTATTTGTCATCATTCTCTCTCTTGCCCTTTTTTAAGTGAAATGTTTATTCAGGTCTTTTGCCCAGTTTTTATTTGGCTGTTTGAATTCTCATTATTGAGTTGTAAAACTTCTATATGTATTGTGGATATGAGTTAGTTCTTTATGAGATAGTATTTTCTGAATATTTTCTGCTAGTCTGTGGCTTGTCCTTTATTATTATTATTATTTTTTTTTATTTGACATGCAGAGCACAAACAGGGAGAGTGGCAGGCAGAGGGAGAGGGAGAAGCAGGCTCCCCACTGAGCAGGGAGCCTGATGTGGGACTGGATCCCAGGACTCTATGATCATGACCTGAGCTGAAGGCAGACACTTGAGCAACGGAGCCACCAAGGCATCCTTTGTCCTTTCATTTCTTTAAGTGTCATTTAAATAGCAAGTTTATAAGTGTTAAAGTCCACTATATCGGTGTTTGCTTTTTATGTTTCATACTTTTCGTGTCTTATCTAAGACATATTTGCCTAATCCAGGGTCACAGAGATTTTCTTCTATGGGGTTTTTCCTCTAGAAGTTTTATACTATTAGGTTTTACGTTTATGTCTATGATCATTTTGGATTAACTTTTATTTAAAGTATATGGTTTTTTTTTTTGCAGATGGATGAACATTTTTTTCTGTACTCTGTTATAAGAGCTATTATTTCTCCATTGAATTACCTTGCTATCTTTGTTGAAAACTGATAATTTAAAATAATTTTATGTGGGTCTGCTTCTGGACTCTCTTCTGTTTCATTGTTCTATAGGTCTGTCTTTATGTCAATATCACATTGTCTTGAATTCCATAGTTTTATACATCATGAATTCAGGTAATAAGAATCCTCCAACTTTGATCTTTTTTCAAATTGTTCTGGCTGTTATAGATCTTTTGCCTTTACCTATACACTTTAGAATTAATTTGTCAATTCTATAAAAATCTGAGAAAATTTGGGGAGAATTGACATCTTGCTAGTATTGGATGTTTCAGTCTATGGACATCTCTCCATTTGGGAAAATCTTTGATTTCATTCATCAGCGTTTTGTAGTTTTAAGTATATAGGTCTTGCACATATTTTGTTAGATTTGTACCTGTGATTCCATGTTTTTTATGCTAGTTTAAATGCTATTCATTTAAAGAATATGCCTATTTCCAGTTGTTGTTGCTAGTATATAGAAACATTTCTGTATTAAGCATGTATTCTGTGACCTTGCTAAACTCATTTATTAGATCTAGTAGTTTTTTTTGTAGATTCCTTTTGTAGATTGCTGTGTAGGCAATCATGTCTGTGAACACATGGTCTAATTTCTTCCTTTCTAATGAATATGTGTTTTTTCTCTTTTCTTATCATTTCATTGGTAAGACCTCAGTACAGTGTTGACTAGAAGTGAATAAAGTGGGCATCCTTGTTTTGTTACTGCTGTTGTGTAAAAGTATTAAGTCTTTCATTATTAAGTATAATATTAGCTGTAAATTTTGTAGCACTTTGTCAGGGTGAGGAAATTTCCTTTCATAATGGATTACATTTGCCAATATTTTATTAAGGCTTCTTTCATCTATGTCCATGGGGGATATTGGTCTGTACTTTTCTTGCCTTGTTCTTGTCCAGTTTAGTATGAGAGTAATGCTGGTTTTATAAAATGGATTGGGAAACCTTAACTCTTGTATTCCTTCTGGAAGAATTTGTGTAAAGTTGGTATTACTATTCTGCAAATGTTTGGCAGAATTCTTCAGTGAACCCGTCTGGGTGTTAAGATTTCCCTGTGGGGAAATTTAAAAATATGACTTCTGTTACTTTATTAGATGTAGGGCTATTTAGCCTCTCTGTGCCTTCTTACGTGAGCTTTGATAGTTTGTCTTCCAAAGAACTTATCGGTTTCACCTAAGATTTCAAGTTTATTAGTATAAAGATTTCCACAATATTACTATATTCTTGTAATGTACATAGGCTATATAATGATCCTTTCCTCTTTCGTTCTTGGTATATGTAATTTCTGTCTCCTCTCTTCTCTTGATCATTGCTTAGAGATTTATCCGTTTTCTTAGGCTTTCAAATAACTAGTGTTTGGTTTCTTTGATTATTGTTATTGTTTTCAGTTTCATTGATTTCTGATTTTATCCTTTAATTTTCTTCCTTTTGCTTGTTTTGGGTTTACTTTGCTCTTCTTTACTAGTTTCTTAAGGTAGGATTTTTGTTTTACCGTTTCAAGACTTTCTTTTCTAGATTAAGCATCTACTAAATTTTTCTCTAAGTCTTACTTTAATGGTGACTCACAAACTTTGATGTTGTATTTTCATTTTCATTCAATTCAAAATATTTCCCTTTTATTTCTCCTTGATCCATAGGTTATTTAGAGGTATGGTGTTTAATTTTCAAACATTTGTGGATTTTCCAGGTATCTTTCTTTTGTGGATTTCTACTTGAATTCTGTTGAGTTTAGTTTGTATGATTTCAATCTTTTCAGCCTTTCTGAGGTTTTTATTTTATGGCCTTAGAATATAAAGTCTCTTTTTTGGTAAATGTTTCTTATGTGATGTGTATTCTGTTGTTGTTGAATCAAGATGTCATTTAGGTTAAATTGATTGATAGTCTTGAGTGAAATTTAGATGATATGTTGGATTTAGCCATAGGAGATGGGGGTAGGCACAGAAGTATGATATAACAGACATAATCTGATTCATTCATTTTTACTTTAGGAAACTGGAGTCCAGAGTGATTGTAACTTACATATTATTATCTAAATTTAAACTGTCTTCTTGAAAATAGAAAATAATATTCATCTTTTTTTTCCTAGGACTTTATAATTTTTAAAGCACTCTTATAGACTAATTGGATTGTGTTTCCTTTGAGATCTGAGAATGTATAGTATGTCTCTGGATCCCTTATATTTCAGAAATAACCTTTCCATAGCAATCTCAAGAAGTGTTTGTAGATAATATATGTGAATGATCATGCCTGTTATCTCGGTATAATGATTTTGTGAGCCCTTTGACTAAAGCACTAAAGCAGGAAGCACTCAATTGATTACTTGGTCTTAGGATAAATGTTGTATTTTCTGCTGGCTTGTTAGGTTAGTCATCCTGTTTCTCAGCATTGAAATAGGTCTTGCTGTAACTGTCACGCCTTAATCATAATAAAACTTAATTGGAATGAGAAAAACTGATAGCATGTTTTTCTTCTCTCTTAGATTCATGCCCGCAACCAAAATGAAATAATTTTTGGGCTGAATGATGGCTACTATGGTGCTCCATTTGAACATAAGGTAAGAGGATTTTCCTAATGCTGTGAGTTTTGTTTAGTGTAGCTGTGCCTTGACATACAGTGTAAAAAGCTCTGTGTAAACAGAATCTTGTTTTAAGTATCATTGTACATTTATTTAGTGTGGCTTAGGGTGATGCTTTTTAAAGGGAAAACTTGTTTTGTAACCCCGATTCATCTTTTCTAAATCCAGATTATTTTCTTAACAGAAAATCTGGGCTTTTTGCTCTTATTCTGTGTAATTCTTTGGAGAGTGAAAACAATGGTGAATTTTGATTAAGTACAATACAGTTTTATTAAATGTTTCAGATACCTTTTACACTTTGAGTAAATTTAAGAAACTGTGAGTCAAGTGGTGCTATAGTCAGTGCTATCTCTATATCTACAGGCAATTAGAGAAAGGAAAGGGAAGAGAATTCATATTTACCAAATACTTACTATCTGTGTTACTATGCCAGGTGGTTCATGTTCTTTATCCCACTTAATACTAGCCACAAAACAATGAGGTGAGTTTTCTATGTTACTTGCTCTTAGTGATCACATTGGTTCATAATTCTTCGTTGTGTGAAATGCTATTTCTGGAATGCTCCATTCATTTAGCAGCTAATTATTCAGTACCTGCCGTTTGTCAGCCATTGTGCCCTCTCTGTAAGTGCTAAAGGCACATTGGTGAGCAGATGGATGTTTTCCAGCAGGAGTGTGTGGAGGAGACAAGCGCTGGTGAGGTGACCTAACAGGTGAATACGTATAAACACAAATGGTGGTAATGCTATAAGCATGTAGAGAGGATCTTCCGTACACTCTAGGGACTGTCTTTTTGAGAACTAGACTTTTTTTTTTTTTTTAAAGATTTTATTTATTTATTTGACAGACAGAGATCACAAGTAGGCAGAGGGGCAGACAGAGAGAGAGGGGGAAGCAGACACCCTGCTGAGCAGAGAGCCCGATGCGGGACTCGATCCCAGGACCCTGAGATCATGACCTGAGCCGAAGGCAGAGGCTTAACCCACTGAGCCACCCAGGCGCCCGAGAACTAGACTTTTAAGGCTACAATCCAGAGGATGAGTGGAAATGAACCAAGTGCAGGGAGTGGGGGCTGAACGGGGACAGCGTTCTAGCAGAGGAGGTTGGCAAGTTGCAAGGCCATGAAGTGGAAAGACACATGGTGGGTTTTAGGGACTAAAGGAAGGTCAGAGTGATGAGGAAGAATGATACCAGATGAGGGTGGACAGGAAGGCAGGGACCATATCATATAGAACTTTTTAAAGGATTTTGTCCTAAGAGCAGTGGATTTTTAGTGTTGAAGGATTTTTAGCATGACAGAGATAATTTGATTATATTTTAACAATTTCACTCTGTCTATAGTAAAGAATAATTGTAGAAGAGGTAAGAATATATGTGGAAAGACAGAAAGGAGGATCATGTACTATATTAGGTAAGAGATGCTGATACTTTGAAACTGGGTTATGGCCCAAAAGAGAGAAAGTGGATTTAGGAAAGTTTTAGGAGGTAAAAATCGTTGGGACCCGGTATCCTTCAAATTTAGAGTATAAGGAAAAAGACGGTGTTAAGGATGACTTTTGGGTTTCTGGCTTGGGTAGTGTAATGGGATAAATAAATATTCCAGGCACTAGGAGAACTGAGGGATGCTAAAAGAGGACCATGTTTCATGGAGGCAGATCGAGAGCTGATATTTGATCATATGGACTTTGAGATGCCTTTAAGATACCCGTGTGCAGATGGAGTTCAGAGGGGAGAAGTGGAGTAGAGATAGGAATGTGGGGCCAATGGCAAACAGTCACTGAAATAATGAGTTCAGGCTAGGGACAGGGTGTACAGTGAGGGAAAAAGGGGCTTACTAACCAAGTCTTGAGGCCTCCAACTTTTAAGGGCCAAGAAGAGGTAGAGGCATTGGAAAAGTTGACTGAGAAGGAGTGATGAGGGATGTATAGGGAAAAGATGGTGGAGTCTCACAGGCTCTCAGAAGCCAATGAAAGAGATTTTTGTTTTGGTTTAGTATTTGGCATATAAGTGGCAGGAGTGGGCAGATTAGATGAGGACTGAAAATTGCTCATTGGATTTGGCAAAAGGAAGGTATTCTAGTTGACTTCACCAAATTCAGTTCAAGCTCTGATAAGCTTTTTTAAAAAAATTTGTTTAAAGCCCTTATATTCTGGGTTCCTTAAGTTTATCAACACTGTGTATACCTTTGACATAAGAAATACCACTTTATAATTCTTTCTTCCTTTGTTGTATAGATCCTCTAATCTGTAAGCTTCTTAAGGACAGATTTGTATATATAATTTTGAATTCCCGGTACCTATCACAGTTCTTTAGGCATGGTATTTGCTTAGTAAAAATGTTTGATTTACTGAGAGAATTATGAGATGGCTACTGTTCTTGTTTGCAGTATCCCACGTATAGGGTTATCCATTCCAACCCTGTTGAGGGATTAAGTTCCTCTTGCAACTGGTAACTAGTACACTGTCTAGTACAATATCTGGTACATAGTAATAATATTAAAGTGAATATTTATTGAACGTGACTGTGTATCAAACACTTTTAAGAGCTTTATATCTGTTATTCTATTTAATCTCCATAAAAATTGTGTAGTCAGATACTATTAGTAATTGAAGTTTTGGATAGCCAGTGACTAATACCCCTTTCTTCTCCCTCTGAGTTTGGAGCAAGATTAGAAATAAAATAGGTGATAGATAAATGGAGATCAGAATGTTGGCTTTACTTCTAATAAAATTAATTGGCAAACGTGTTTTAAATTCTACAACTAAAGGAGCTGGTATATACTTCCTCCCAAATTGAATCTTCCCCAAAAAACAACAAGGACAAAGCCTAATCCTCCAAGCCAAAAGCAGAATTTATGTGTGGTGTAGGCAGGATGTTCTGACTGGGAGGGAACCTGGAAAGAACTGAGGCTATCATGCTATGTTTTGTCTTCCAAGCTCAGCTGTCAGGTATGTCCTCTGCCTGTCCCGGAAAGGAAAAGAAGGACGCAGAGAAACTGGAAGTGTTCTTTTTAGGACCTGGGATATGGAGTGGGACATCTTTTTTTTTTTTTTTTTTAAAGATTTTAGTTATTTACTTGGCAGAGAAAGAGAGTGTAAGCAGGGGGAGCAGCAGGTACAGGGAAGGGGAGAAGCAGGCTCACTGCTGAGCAGGGAATTGGGCTCTAGGAGTAGGATATCTTTTGCCTGTGTGGAAACAAGAGTGCAGAGTGTTCCTAGTAATAATAATAATAATAATCATAATAATCATAATAGCAGCTAATGTCCAGTGAGCTGATAATAATGCTAGGTGCTGTTCTAAGTGCTTTACATAATTTAACTCATTTAAACCTCACAGTTGTCTTTTTACAGAAGAGGAAGCCTGCACATAGAAGTTAAGTGACTTTCTCAAGATTACAGAGCTACTAATTAGCAGAGCTGGGATTCAAGACCAAATGGTCAATAAAAGTTTATTGAATATATATTATTGTAATAAGTGGTATATATTATTCTATAGTCCTTCAGTTAGTGAATTTTACAAATTTAGATGCCAGCCTTATCTTGCCCCTGTACCAACTTTCAGGTGAACATCTGATATATAGTTTGAACCTTAAAAAGCATTAGTTTTCCTTTGTAAAGAAAGCTGTAAACAGTTTTTCCAGTCAAGATGTCCTTGTAAGTGCACACTTTGAGACCCTCAACTGCACCAAACAAAAGGCAGTGATAGGTTTAAAAACAAACAAATCCCAAAACCCAAAGAACAAAAACAAAACAAAACAAAAAACCCCTAGTGACTGGTGACATCAGAGAAATTTCAAGAGACATACTTGCTAAAACAAACTAAAAGCAAGAAAATAAACCCATCTGGGAGAGAAGTAGTAGGCAGAAGCCTAGTCCTTGAAAGATGCGCTCCTCTGGGCAAAATGAACAGAAAATGAGCGCAAAGCTGAGGTTGGTAGGACTCTCCCGATTATAGAAGGAGGCTGAAAAAAAGACATACAAACTGCAGATCTTTAATGTTAATTTTAAAAGGAGAGATCTTAAAAAAAAAAAAAGGAGAAGTCTTAAAAGTGAGCAGAGAGAAAGGAAGTATTACCTACAAATTAGACTGACAGCAGACTTTGCGACAGTAACAGTTGATGCCAGGAGAAATGATCCTCAGAGTGCTATTACCTGTTAAATGTATAACTGTATTTCTAGTCAGCCTTCAGTCAAGAGCATGGATGAAAGAGGAACAACTTTAAAGACACACAGATTGAGAATTTACTTCCCACAGACCCTTTATCTATACTGAATTGGAGGCGGAGAAGTGATCCCAAAGGGAAGATGTAGGAAGTAACAGCAAGTTACAGCAAGACACATGAAAATGGTTACAATGTTAGTGAATGCAATTAACTACTGACAGCAAACTAACACACAAAAAGAAACTTAATATGTAATAAGTTATATGTTTTTATGTAAAAACAAACTAGACTATAGTTATTCAAAATATAGTTTGTGGACCAGGGCTAGTCTAAGAACTGTCTGTCACTAGGGACGCCTGGGTGGCTCAGTCGGTTAAGCCTCTGCTTTCGGCTCAGGTCATGATCCCAGGGTCCTGGGATCAAGTCCTGCATCGGGCTCCTTGTCCAGCAGGGAGTCTGCTTCTCTCTCTTTTTCTGCCTGCCACTCTGCCTGCTTGTGCTCTCTGTCTGAGAAATAAATAAATAAAAATCTTAAAAGAAAGGGGGAAAAAAAAAAAAGAGAACTGTCACTAGTCTGTGGTGAGCCAAGTATAAAAAGTGAGAGTAAATGTTTCAAAACTTTTATAGCAATTTGACATTATTTTGCCTTTTTATTGTATTTTACAAAATTATCAGTTCACAATGGATTGAAGGAAAAGCACCTGGTCATTGGCTGCAGAGCTTTTTAGAAGCACTGCTCTAGACAGCAATAATGAGTGGAGGGAGGGTGTGTAAAGAGTTAAGACTCAATGAGGTTACTGATCTGTCTGGGAGGAAGA